AAGATGACAGATAAAATACCTACCACGGAGTGTTGTGGATCGCGTTCGTTTGCCTCAATCGATCGATCTCCTTCTCTCCCTCTCTCTCCATCGACTTCGCATCTTGCAGATGAAGACTGGTGTGGTTCCCATCCCAGATCAATTTATTTCTCCTTCGACTTCGCAGATCGATCTCCTTTGATGGGTTTCGTTCTACTTCAATAGGTTTCATTCTGCTTCGATCTCCTTCGATGGATCTCTCTCTCTCTGCTTCGATGGGTTTCGTTCTCTGTCTCTCGTTTTCTTTCTCTCTATCTCTCGTTTTCTTTCTCGCTCTCTCTTTTTTGTCCAAAGTCTAGACGACCGATAGTCTGACGAAAAAAAAAATTAAAACCTACTTAAATCAAATGACCGAGACTGAGTCTCTGATAACATGTAAAACATTAATTTGTTTTTTGATAAAAAGACATAAATAGCCTTTTATTTTACAAGACAATGTATCACATATTTTGGATAAAAAAGTAAAAATACTATTACCTACCAATTAGGCACTTATTGAAAGACTCCTAGTTTTTATACCTAGCATGACAACCATATATATATATATATATATATTTTTTTTTTTCCAGATTTTTACCCAATTCTCTACCGCCTCTCTTTCTTTTTCTCTATCTTTCTGTTTACTCCTTATTCATTCTACTGAATTGAATTTTTGTTGTTTAAAAAAAATGATTTTTGGTAAAAGAAGGAGGGAAGAACAAGATTCTTCTCAGGTTGAAGAACAATTCGAAATTAATATTCAGAATTTAGATGATTCCGCTGATGAACAAGAAGTTGAACACATTGAAGTAACGGAAGAAGTTAACACATTGAAGTAACGGAAGAAGTTAACACTAGGCAACCACAAAAAAATCGCACACAAGAAGATCAATTACAAGTTGATGCAAAATTGAAACCACTACTCAATGAGGTTAATCTTATTGGTGCAGCTCAAGGAAAAAATCCAGGGGCATCAAAGACTTGGTCATGTAAGCATTGCGGTGGTAAATTTACAAGTTCCTATACTCGAATGCATTACCACTTTTTTGGTGCCTCACCTGGAAAAAAAGCAGAAATTAAACGGTGTCAAGCTTTGATGAATAATTTGACTGAATATGCAAAATTGTAAGAAAGAGTACAAAAGACAGAAAAAATAGGAGTTTCTTCATCCCTGAAAAATTCTACATTGATGAAGCGGCAACCTTCACCGACAACAGGATCAATTGAAGATGCATTCAAAATAATGGATCGAGACATGGTTGACTTGAAGGTCATGAGGGGATTATGTGCTAAAAGAATTCCATTCAATGTGTTGAGAAATCCTCAATTCAATGAGATTATTTCAGCTATACATAGAGGACCTAAAGGTTACAAGGCACCCAGCTATGAAAAAGCAAGAACTACATTATTGGATGAGTGCAAAAGAAGTGTTGAAAAAGATTTAATTCCTATTAAAGATACATGGTATTCTAATGGGGTATCCATTATATCAGATGGGTAGACTAATGTGAAACATCATCACCTTATTAATATCATTGCTGCAAATAGTCGTAAAGCTATGTTTTTATATGCTGAGGATTTTTCAGGGATAGAGAAAACAGGTAAAGCAATTGCTAATTTTTTGTTGAAAGTCATTGAAGAAGTACGTCCACTAAATGTCATTCAAGTAGTGACCGATAACGCAGCAAATTGCAAACTTGCGGAGAAAGAGGTGCAAAAGGTACACAAACATATATTTTGGTCTCCTTGTGTTGTTCATACTCGGAATCTAATTTTTAAAGACTTTGCAAAAGAATTTGAGTGGTTTAGAAATACTTATAGAAGGGGAAAGTCTATTGTTAAATATTTCTTGAACCATACACATGCTTTGGCTATGTTTAGAGCTCAATCTAAATTGGAGCTATTAAAAGTGGCTAAGACCAAGTTTGCATCGCATTATATTTTGTTGAAGCGACTTGTTGACTGTAGAGAGTCCCTTGCAACTACCATTGTTCTCAAGTCATGGAAAGAATTGGTGAAATCTGGGGATGAACACACAAGAAAGTTAGGTGCTTTGGTTACAGAAACTGTTATTAGTGAAGAATTTTGGGAGGATGCGGAGAATATCATAAGTATCACAAAGCCTATATTTTTTCTTATTAAATTTTGTGATGGAGAAGGTCAAAAAATGGGTGAGATTTATGAGAAGATGGATAACATGCTTGGTGAAATAAAAGATATTATGAGGAGTGAAAAACACGGTGATAAATTTTCTCAAATTGAAAAAATTGTGCTTGACAGATGGGAGAAGATGAATATTCCTTTGCATTGTCTTGGGTTTGCACTAACACCACGGTTTTATAATACCCAATATCTTACTAAGCTAGCACCAGGAGGTACAATTAGAAAAACTCCAAATCAAGATAGAGAGGTCATCATAGGTGTTATGGAAACTTTTGAAAAGATAGCAGAAGATGTAGAAGAAGCAAAATAATTGAGAGAACAGTATGCATATTTTCACTTGCGAAAGAGTCTTTATGCTATGGCGGCGGCTCAAACAGATGTTGTGACCATGGATGCTATTGATTGGTGGTCGACATATGGTTCAGAAACTCCAGAATTAGCAGAAGTGGCAAAAAAGGTACTAATTTAAATTACAAGTTATTTATTCTTATTGTTAATTATCATTATTAATGTCTTATTATTTTTTTCATAAAAGGTGTTATCGCAACCAATTACAAGTTCTTCAGTTGAAAGAAATTAGAGCACGTATTCATTTATTCACAATGTCAAGAGAAACAAATTGAATTCTACCAGGACTGACAAATTGGTTTTCATCCATTCAAATATTCGTCTCTAATCACGTTTCGGTGAAAGTTACAAAGATGGTCCTTTTAAGAAATAAGATATAAATCTAGAGCACACATATAAAGATGATTCTAGTGTGAGATTGGAGGAATTGCGATGGAAATCTTTGGAGGATGACAATACAAATAGTTCTACCATTACTAGAGACGAAGATCGTGAAGCTTCATCCTTACATGCGTCTATGTCCGTCTCTATTGACAAGCCACCTACTAGTTCTAGCAGGCCATTGTTTCGTCATTCCGAACTACATCAGACTCAAATTAGTAACTATGCAAGAGGAGGGAACACTGCGAAAGATAAAGGGAAAAGAGTTGACAATTAACTCATGTGCTCTAATTTTTTCTTATGATTAAGTAATTTTTATTTGAGACTTGTTAGATGTTTAAGAATGTTATTTTGATTTGTGCTTCAAGTAGGTAGCTATTTAATCACTCTCTAGTACATTATTTTTTAAATTTTAAGTTTTTAAATTTATATGTTGTCTTTTATTGATAATAAAATATGCAATCATTACTTTTTTATACATGATTATTAGTTGATGTGTTGTTGTTGGTCTTGATTTTTATTTTATAATGTATATATTTATATAATTCTTTGTAATAATGAAAACGATCCGAATAATAGTTCAAAGCGAATCACGACCCAAAATAGCGTACCAACTAAGCCTACTCCCACCGCACCACGTACCGCAAAAAGTAACATACCCCGCACCTGTACCCGTACCACGTACCCAATCGACCCGCGATCCAGGTAACCCTGGGCCCAACAACAATGAACTAGAAGCCTGAACGAATTGGCTTTGAACTAGGCTTGTTGGGCTGAAATAGGCTTGTTGGGCTAGGAAATTATTTAAGCCCACTGAGGCAGAATGAGGCTTGCTAGGTTTGGGAAATTATTTAAGCCCATAACTGTGGACTATCTGATCCGACCCGAAACTGGGAGTTGTCTTCTCCACTACGAGGGTTTTAATGAAACCCTAGCTTCAACGGTGCCTCAAACCAAATTGCTAACAGCCACACCCAAGCTTCGATAGCAACACTCGGCTCCCCATTGACCTTCGGAGACCCCAACGCAACGACCAACACGATCACAGAACACAAAACACGTCACAAACCAATGTCAACATATGTCATCAACAAAAACAAGTGACGACGGGGAGAACAACGATGCACTCTGACGACCACCACCAACCAGGGTCCCTCTTAAGCCAAAAACAACCCAGTAGAGACCCAATATCTTCAACACCACCAACAGTTTATTGGGTGCACGAGTTCAGTGCAAAACCATCACCCACCAATTATGGGATACACGGAACCAAGACAAAGCCCTCACAAAAATGGAACAAAGGGGAAGAGAAGAAAGAAAAAGATAAAAGAAAAGGAAGTAAACAACGGTGATTAATGGCAAATTGAATTTGGACCTAATGACTCTAATACCATGTTAAGTTTAGAGAGTTAACACAATATTAGAAAAACAGAGAGTGGTCGAACTTAACCTACCTCTCACCAATGAATTGTATTTATAGTTATCTCGTAAAAATACAAATGACGAGTATATCCTCTACGTGGTATTCTTATTACAGCTATATTAAACTAAATACATAGTAATAATACTCTCAACAGTGTCATCCAACTTAACCGGATTAATCTAAAGGGATGGGCTATGTCTAAGAGTGCCAACATAACTCAACCCATTCACCTTGCTGCCACCTAAAGGCTTACTATAGGCTCCGAAAGGCTTAATATTGGCTACTATGTTCACGAACAAGGAAAGCACCCCAAATATCAAAGAATTGGTTCAACCACAGCAGATTGAGTTCTGATACCATGTTAAGATATGAAGAGAGAAGGAGAAAAAGTACAGAGAGAGAGAATTTGTATGAATGTAGTGGTTGTTGAGAGAAAGCCTAATAATCAAATTAGGGTTATCTCCATTAACCCCATGTATTTATAATAATAAGACTGCAAGTACATAAATACCCCTCATGGCTATAAAACATCTCTTACAATAATAAATCTTAATCATTTTAAATATCAGATGCTCGATGGTCTTTGTCTGTGCAACATGACCAAATTATTTGTAGTTATGATTTATTAAGCTTCAGATTACATGCTACTGGCATAAATGTTAGACTAATGAGCCATTTATGCAGTTTTACTGTTACTGTAATAAACATAAATATAGTCCTTTGTTGGAAGTTTTTTGTAACCCTATCCCAAGATGTTGGATTTTTCGTGTCAAGCTGGATCTTTGATGTGGTTGCACTATTCCCCCACAGCCGACACCATAAAACAATTACTGCCTTTGCAAGTGTCCTTAACACCACTAAACCGACATCACAGCTGCCACATCCCCTCCAGCAACAAGCAGCACACCAGAGTCATCATTTCTACCACTGCCACGCTAACACAACTGCCACACCCACTACCACTAACCTACAACCCTTGTACCACAAACCAATACTACATGAAAATGTGAGAACCCCTTCAATAATCATTCCTGTCACTACGCCTCCACAGTGGTTTCCACCCTCAGTCTCCCTTATGACTGCCACTATCTGCTTGCCCTACTGTCATCCTCAGCAAAATATTCTGATACTGGGTCATTGACATGTCTATGTGCAACGAAACTACTATTTTGAGATTATTGGATGCTGATACTTATCTGTTTCCCATATGTAGGTTTGTGTGAGAGAAGTGATTCACACCTTCTTTTTCGTTTTCTCTGCAATATTAAAGGAATCACCAAATACTTGGCAGTAATATATATCTACACACACACACATTTACATATATGAAAGAAAAAAAATAAGAAAACAGTCACGAACAAAACCTTTTAAGAGATCACCAAAGGAAACCATGAACTATACAAAAATTAAATAGAAAAAGAGATTCAAACATGGAAATAAAGTGAATAAAAGAGAAAACATAAAAAAGAAGCCAGGGAAACATAAGAACATCCTTACTTACTTCTGTTACATCATCTTCTCCAATAGCTCCAAATGGAACAATTGTGGCCCCAAATCTTGCAGCCATTCTCACGAATTCTGGTTGATCAGGCCAAAACAACTTATATTGTTCACCCTGGGAACCACAAAAGCACCATCATTATCGAGGCCCAGATTTTTATACATATAAAGTACATCTATCAAGAAAACCAATATAGATAATCTTGAGACCATGTCTCTTTGTACCATCCGATGTGCTTAGTAAAAGAAACCCAATAGTATTACTGACACATCCAAGTTTTAGATTAGCAAATCCTCCATGCTTTTGTTAGCATGATTTTTATTAATTTCTAACAGCAAGGTCAGTGTAGAAGAACAAAATTCCTATATAAACTTTGTGTTTCATTTGAAGAAAATATCTCGTTCCAACTATTTGGCATTGCCTACATGAATCATATTTTAAAATTGTAGTCTATTAAGCCTTATTTTGTGTATACCAAAGCAATTATATCTTTATTTATTATCTTATTCAATAAAAATTATGGTCTGCCTCTAGCCTTCGTACTATTGTCATGTCACTCTTCCACACTGGTGCACTAATAAGTTTTGTGTGAAGATAATCAAACCATCTAAGTTGATTTCCCAACTTATCTCCTATTAGTACTACTACTGCTCTACCAATATACTCATCTATCTTTCTATCCTTTTTCGCTTTGATTGCACCACACATCTATTTTTATATTGGCATTTCAGCCAAGTCTAATTTCCAAGCATGTTTCATAGTTGCTGAACATTCTAGACCATTAGACATACCCGATCTCATACAAAATCCTAATTTTTTTCTTGTGCGGGCAATATTTGTCCTCATTAGGTTCATTATTGAAAATTTTGCTATCTTTTTGGATCACTTGTAGATTGGCATATTAGTAACCAAGGCCTCCAAGAAAGTTTATGAATTACTTTTTCAGAATTTAAGACAAAAGGTAACCAAAAGTAACATGTAGAGTTTTTCAATTCCAGAAGAGAACTACTTAAGCAGAAACAACGGGACATCTTGCACACCTTTTGATGGAAAGCCTCACGTACACCACCAGGATATAACAGTACATGGGACTTTGTTGTAAACAATTTGAAAAGGTTGCTTGCTGTGACAGGCACTGCACCAAATACTTTCAACAAATCAAAAAAGGAAAACTCCTGAGATTGAGTTTCAGCCATCTGAGTAAACAAGGTCGGATGGGCTACACCACGAACTAGAACATTCTTCTCCCTCAAGAATTCTTCAACAAGGGGAACAACTTCACATCCTAGCAGCATGTGATAACCAACTAATAAAACGGGACCCTCATCCGGAACGCCAGCAAGACCCCTTACTAATCTTCCATCTTCTAAAGTTGAGAACATTACTGGACTAGTAGCAAAACGGAGCCACCTGCATTTCATTAATTTTTACTTGTAATCATTTGCCACTATAATCAAAATTAAGTTGACAGCAACTAAGTTGCTTGTTTCAGCAAGGATATGACCCATCGCATTACTGACTCACGCGGGGAAGGTGAACTTGATGGGCAGAATCCACTAGCCTTCCAACTTAGGATAGTCGACAGTAATCCATATGGGTCAACTGAAGTGTCCATAGATTGAATCATTCTATTTTAAGATCTATTACAAAGAACTATTTAATTTCAGTTAAAATCAAGCATTACGTATACAAAGGCCAGCATCTCATGTCAGTCCCTCGTGGGTAAGGTGCTACGAGGGTATACAGTATACTTAATAAAGACTTAACCTTTAGAATTCTTTATCAGAAGTTGAACCATTAGGAAGAACCAGCAGTCGAGGCTTTTCACTATTACTAAAAAATATAGATTATTAAATCTTAAGCAAAATAAGCTATTTTATGTACTGTGTTATGTTCCACTAGATTCTTGGTTTTTTGGAGCAAAGATCAAAATTTTGTTTCAAATGCAATAACTTAGAATTGGTTGTTGCGTAACAGAATGGAAACAAAGAAAAAAAATTGAAAATTTGATTTTGAAACATTCTGAAACTTTGAATCTTGATAAGTTCAAATAGTTTTGGATGTTTCTTCCAAAGAGAAAATCCTTAGTTTTGTGGAGTAGAAACTTAATGTTTCAAAACAAGATATTTTGTATGCATTTTGAAAACCTGAAAATAAGTGGGTTAGAGAAAGACTGTATACACAACCTGATATAAGGGCAAACACCTTCTAAATTATTAACTAGGAAGTCCAGTTAAATATGTATATCTATCCTTTGGTCTTTCGTTTTGGGGGGGGCTGGGGGGATGAAAGAGTCTGGTGAAGATCTCAAAAACATAGATGAAGCCTACAAGAATTAGAGAAGAAAAGAACAGAAACTATTTGCGCAGAAAAGATCACAGCCAATGAGCCAGACTAAAATGATGACAAAAAAGAGGAAAACCGAAAAGAGAAAAAGAAAAGAAAAAAAGAAAGAATCATGTGTTCTCTTTCTTTAGTTCATATTTTCTCCTCATAATTATTTTTTTCAAAACTATGCAGAAGAACTTTGTTTCTGTTAATCATATCATGTGTTTTCCATTGAATTACACTCGGACAAACTGGAATATACGAAGAACCTGGTACAATGACAAATCCCTAAGAAAACATTTATTTAGGGTAACCACATTCAAGCAGGAATGTTCAACAGAAGCCTCCTTCCAAAACATGATGTTGAGTGTGAAAAGCAAACAAGGAATAGGATCGGCTGAATCACGATGCATCCTTGGATGCGTTTTATCACAATTTTCTAGTAAAAAATACTGCATTTTCTACTGAGTTACCCATTTCTTTCGAGTGCTCCTCTGAACTCTGACATACTAGGAGGAAGAAAATTCATGACAAAGTCATGCCTCCTTGAACGGCGGTACTTGCCTGTACCTTTAATTACAGTCAACAGATTGACACCATCTTCCTGAACCAACAAAAATAGCATCCAGTCAGGTTTTACATGCTTCCACCATAACATAACCCAAAGAGCTGCAAAACTTGATCCCAACAAAGACCAAGTGCCAAAGTGCTGTGTCCTAGAAGCAATTACTAATATCATCCATAAAGTGCAATGGAAAAAATTTTGTTGTTGGCAAATGTTACTTTACCAATAAAGAGAAAGGATCAGGAAAAAAACCCACCTCATGAGAACATTATTATCTAAGTAATGAAGCACTATCTGGGGATATATTTTGTGGGAGGGTGGGGAAGTGTATTATATCCAAACAATGAACATGTTTTTAAATGATTTCTTTCTCAACTCATCTTTTGTTAAAAGGAACACAATATAAGACTTGAATTTTTTCTTGAAGTGTGGAAAAACCAGTTTCAGGCCCAAAATAGCCAATTGCCATATTAAACAGCAATACCATAATAATAGTACACATTTGGTATTGATCTGACAGACCAAATTAAAGCATGTTTTAGTGCATCATCAAACTTCATTGACTATGAGGGGATAAAAAAACATAATGCATGAACAAAAAGGCTGTTTGGGCTTGGCACAATTTAGTTTAACATAGTTTTGGAAGTGTATGGACTCGGCTCATATTTTTACCGACCTAGAGCAAGCCTGTTCAGGCTGCACTCATAGCTGCTCACCAATTTCATAAGCCCATCTCGACTCAGTTAGCAATTGGAACGCGGCTTATTGTGAGTCTTTCCATGCTCCAATTGTTCCCAACTAAGATTTATAATTTTGAAAAGAAAGCCAACGTCAAAATCAACAAATTTGTTGTGTAGTTGTATATTCCAATTTTAATTACTTTTAAGCTAAGAGAATGGCATGAAAGTGGAGCATTGGTTAAGCCATTATGAACCCTTGTTCATGAGCCTAAATAAGCAGACCATGGTCTTGTTTGTTTTAGGACCTTTTCCAAATTGGGTTCAAATTAAAGCTTGGGCTCGTTCATGTGTTAAATAAATGAACATCAACATGACCATACCATGCTGAGCCAAACCAATCATAAACAGCTGGGGTCATTTGCAGCCGAATCTATTACTAGTGCTTGTCACAAGTCCCTAAAATAAATTTTGAATCTCTATGTAGACACCAAATATATTGTTATGTTATGTTATATTACGATGTAACTATTAAGGGTGTTTTTGGTACTTCTGTGACTATATATTTATTGGAATGTAGCAGTGTAACCCTTTACATACTACTCTCTTCATAATCTTGTCTCTCTTTCTTCTACACTTCTTTTCTCTTTCTCATAACTCTAATTCTCCATAATCTAATTTGGTATCAGAGCTTCGGTCAAAATTTAAAGGTTTAAAGATGTCGAAATACATTGGAAACTTTTTTTGCGTTCAACAGCACTGATTGTAAGAGTCTGACATGCTGACATTTATCAGAAAAAACCATAAAAATCCAAGGTTGACTCAACTCAGCCTCATGAGATTTATAATTATTTTAGCAGATTTTTCTGAAGCTGTTGACAGGTCATTTGATTTTTCAAATGTTTTTCAAATTATTTGGGGTTCAAGGCTTGGTCTGCGATTTCTGAGCAACTCAAGGGTTGGATTTGGTTCAAATAGTTTTCCTTTTAAATTTTTCTTTGTTGCCCAGGTTTGTTGTTTGGTTATGTTTGGAGTGGATTTGAGAGGTGTTTTGCCATTCTTCACTGTCGGCTATCAATCTGGCCTACTGTTTCAACTTTGTGTGGCATCTCGGACACTTGTGTGCTTGGGTGTGCTTGTGTCCTCTGACTTTCAGAATTGAGTGTCGTTTGAGGGTATTCTGGTTGTGGTCTTCTTTGTGGCTTGTGATTTCCTGTGATTGGCTGCTAATTTGTGTTATTCTTATTGTGTGAACATGTCGAAAGGAGTGTAACTCCTACAGTACTATAGGTAGCACTAGGGGAGTGGGCTGAGCCATTTGGGTGCTCTTGCAAACAACCCATCTCTTCAAATTAGTCTAGCGAAGTTGGAAGGACACAATTATTTGGCATGGTCACGGGCTCGTTTGTCATCGATTCAAGCTATTTCTTTGAATGGGTATTTGTCCGGAGAGACTGAAAAGCCTAGTGAGTTTGGTCCCCACTCAAACAGTAGACATCTAAGAATGCCTTCGTTATGTCGTAGTTACTTAATTCAATGCAACTCTCTATCAGTCGTGGATTTCTATTGCTTGATACAGCACATAAGATATGGACTGTTGTAAGTCATACTTATTCTCAGATGGGTAAATGATGGTAAGCCTTATGATCTTTGAAAGAAAGTGCGAGAGAATAATCAGAAACATAAAACCCTTCCGGTTTATTATGCAGAGTTGACTACCTTATGGTAGGATCTTGACTATTACCATAGTTTCACAACTGATTGTGCTAATGATACTATTAAATTTCAGCAAATGGTGAAAAATGAATTGAGTGTATGACTTCCTTACTAGTCTGAATATTGAATATGATAAGACTGGAGTTTAGATTTTGGATCGTAGTCCATTTCCTACTTTACAAGAAGCCTATGCCCAAGTTCAGTAGGAGGAGAGTCAAAGAATTGCTATGGTTTATGCTCCTACTCAGGAACAGTCTGCATTGGTTGTTATCCGTTCGTATGACATGAGTTCAGCCTTGCTTAAGTCCACGGAGATAAGTAGCATTGTATCTACGAATACCTTAAAGTGTGATTATTGTGGGAAGACAAGACATACATGGGAGTTTTGTTGGAAGTTAACTAGACATCCTACACGTGGACAAGGTAGTGGTTGAGGTGGTAATGTACGATCTCATGCACATACGACTAAATCCTCAAAGACTCCATCTTAGTCTAGTGGAATCACTCCTACTTTTTTTGGGGATGAAATGCAGACTCTCAGGCGCCTGATGACTCGACTTGATGCTTCCTCTACCCTAGCTCCTAATCGTGCCTCTTCCTTCAATTTTGCTCATATAGGTATATCTAGTGTGTTTACTGCACCATCCTCATATGCTCATTGAATAATAGATTTTGGAGTCACAAATCATATGACTAGTTCTTCTAGTCTGTTCTCATACTCTACATGTTTAGGTAGAAATAAAATCAAGGTGGCTGATGGATCTTTATTTGAGTACATTGATGGTAAATTTCACTCTTACCTCAATTAGGGTGACATTCTTCATCAAACTAGTTGTGTGCGTCCCTCGGAACAAAATGGTCTTGCTCAGCGATGAACAGAGACTGAAAGTGTAGAAGTAACTGATGAACAGAGAAAAATAAGACAAAATTTAATTGGTGGATCAAGACGGAGAAGTGGTATCAAAATTTATTCTTCCTATAAAACTTCAGATAATGATATGGATATAGAATATAGAGCTGATATTTAATATGCAAAACAACAATCTATTTGTGACATATATATGGCTGAGCAGGGTTTTAGAGGAGAACATTCTAAACCATCTATCCAAAAAGGTGGTACATCTAGGGGTCTAATGCGTTCACATTGTATGAAGGAATATTGAGATAAATTTTCCAGAAAATCACAAAAATTAATGGACAAAGAAAAAGATCTTACATAGAAGAGATGGATCCTTCAATGTATCAAAAGAGGAAAGTGAAGCAAGCTAAGCTAACTCATATGTGGAATCCCAAAAAGTGGGCAAAATTGGCAAAACATACTATTGTAAAATATTTCATTTATGAGAATATTCCATCAAGCAAAACTCAAGGTCATTTTTACCAAGTAATGATTGATGAAATTGTTTTAGGTGGAATGGGTGTGCAAGGGCCAACCTCATATGAGATTGGCGGGTCATTACTAGATGATAAGATAGATGAGCTTAAAGAAAAGATTCACTAGTTTAAAAAAAGTGACAATCATGTATGATTGATGGACATCTACCATAAGATTATCTATCATTAACTTCTTGATATATTGTGATAGAAAAATTATCTTCCACAAGTCAATTGATAGTTTTGGCCATGACAAGGATGCTAACTATATTTTGAAGTTGATGGATGTTGTTGTTGAGGAGATTGAAGAGAAATATGTAGTTCAAATTACTATAGACAATGGTAATGCGGACAAAAAAGTTGGTGAAATATTGATGAAAAGAAGACTACACTTATATTGGACTCCTTGTGCAGCCCACTCTCTATATTTGATTTTGCATGATTTTTTAAAGATTAAAACGGTTCAAAATGTGCTTGAGCAAGCTAAAAGAGTGACCAATTTTATATATAATCATAATAGTCTTAGATATAATAAGAACATTTTGCTTGGGAGAATTGATTCAACCTAGGCAAACAAGATTTACTACTAATTATATTGACCTACAAAGTATTTCAGAACAAAGAAATGACTTGCAAATAATGTTTACTTCAAAAGATTGGTCTAAAACTGTGGTTGCAAAAGATCTAGTTGGAAAGAGAGTACAAGGGACAATTCTAAATCCTAAGTTTTGGGAGAATACCAAAAATGGGTTGAATATGCATACATCTATTGCAAGAGTTCTAAGAATGGCAGATGAAATAAAAACTACAATGTCATATGCATATAAAGTAATGAAAAGAGCAAGACAATCTGTCAAAGACACAGCTTCTAAATCGTGTAAGAAATATCTTGACATCATTAATGCTCGATGGAAAAAATAAATCATTCAACATATTCAAATGCCAGATAAACTTATTGTTTAACATTTTATATTTTTATTATTTATAAGTGTTATCATTTTGAATGTTATCATTTATAAGTATTATCATTATTTATATTGTGTGGCTTATTACTTGAACCCCACATACCATTATGAAGAAGATGTTAGTGTGTTAGAAAGTTTATTAGGTTTACTTCAGATCATTGTGTCTAGATTAGAGACAAATCCAAACAAGACAGCTGAAGCACTTGCTGAGGTAATACTTTAACCTTTCAATCTCATTTTATGAATGTGCTAAATTAATATATAATATCAACATATTTATGATTTTTAGGTAAAAATATTTCGGGAGGCCATGTATTATTTTGCTTACCAAACTGCAATTAGGGAAAAAACAAAAAATAATTCAGATAATTAAGTAGATTATTTAAACATAATATTTTGTTCTCATAGTTTTCAATTTATATTTTTCTTTAAGGTTTTAATATGTTTCTTATTATTATGTAACTAAATAGTGGTTTATGTATAACACTGATGCTTCTAAATTACGAAAAAATGCTATGAGAATATTGTCGCAAACTGCATCATCTAGTGGTTGTGAGAGAAACTAAAACACATTTGATCTCATTCATACTAAAGTGCGAAATCGACTCAATTATCAAAAGTTAGAAAGGCTAATGTTTACATAGTAAAAGGTTACAAATTCAGACCTATAGACTTAACCATTATTTTTAAGGAACATAAAGATATATTACAGCGGTTAGATGATTCTGATGATGTACTTTTAGATGAACTTGATGATAATGAGCAACCAACAAAACCAAATACTTTCCTGACAACATGGGCAAATCGTTTTTGTGATGACAATGGAGTAGGTCAAAGTTTGGGTGTCGTGCCACCACGAAAAATCAAGATCCAAACTAAGTAGAGATGGATCAAGTAAAGCAATGGATGATAAAAAGTTTGACAGACTAATGAGAAGCCCACCAAAACGTAAGTAAGCTATCACTCTCACTAGTAGTACCGAGGATGATCATAATAGTGATAATAGTAATGATGATAGTGATGAAAATGATATGATGAAGCTAGTGGTGATAGTAGTGGAGCGGAGGTGATGATAGCCTTGGACATGGTGACGATGGAGGTACGGGGAGCCAAAGTCCACATGGAGTTGTATTCACTATAGAAGAAGAATTTACACATGCTACACAAGATGAAAATCATGCCTCTTAACCAATGCTTCAATATGAACGACGCTCAAAATCAAGTCAAGATCATCAACGTGAATGTTCTCAAAATTGGATCACTCCACATGATATGGGTGCTGTTAGGCGTGGAGTAGATATGATTAATTATAATTTTTCTACTATGAGTATAGGTGGAAGTGGAAATGGAAATGAACACCATAATTATTGTTTGTCGTCTTCATATGATTATGGTTCTAGATATGACATTCCCTCGTATAATTATGGATCGAGTATGACACACGAGAATACAAATATGGATTATCAACATATGGTTATAGATCTAGCTAGGACTCCCACACATCCTCCTCATATAGACAAGATAAAGGTTGACCAAGGACCAATGCATTTGTTTCTCAGCTGATTGGATGTAACGTTGCAAACTATCAAATGTTCGGGAGAGAATATAATTCATATTATTGTAATAATATGAGTTGGAGTAACTATTGTCATCATATTTATGCCACATATGGAGTTCCACTAAGTGACTACCTAGAGCCTACACCGATGTATGAGTCTGCTCGACACTTCACGGGAGGATGGATGTAGTCATGTAGGAAAGTACTCATTAGCATTTCATTTGTATTATGAGACCTTAACATTATGTAAAAATGTGTTTACTTGATGAAAATTAAGTATTTGAAACTAATTTAAGTAATTTCCGCTTTGTGTCAAGTTTTTTTTTTTCCCTCAAACTTGATGTTATCTTGTATAAATGGATGTTAACCCAATAAATATGCTCAATTGATCAATTATTATGCTTATCTTTATAAATTAATAGATTGTATTTGTGTTTTCACATATATTTTTTCTATATTTCCATTGTGTTTCCAAAATTTTTTCGAAGTGTTTCCGTTTTTAGGCCGATCGAAATGGTACTTTGAAACTACATTTCGATCCTTGGTATAATTGCTGCCACCCACCATCTCGGAAGATATATGTTAGCATGAATATTACTTTTTGTGAGTTTGAACCCTTTTTCTCTCCTCCCCAACCATCTATTCAGGGAGAGAATACTACTATTAAGGAAAAGATGGTGGTATGTTAAGAGCCCTTCCTTCAATTGCCTAATCAAGGGGAGCAACAGATTGTGTTAGTACCAAAGAACCACCTGGTACTTTGAAGACCTATTCTCAACGTCAAAAGACATAGACCACTCATGTGCCGCGAGATCAATTGAATTCCTCCACTTTAGTTCTAGCATCTCCTGCTAGTTATCAGGTATGAGCTTCCAATTGTCAACGTTAAAAGATACAAACCACTCACGTGCCACTAGGTCAATTGAATTCTTTCACTCCAGTTCTAGCATCTTCTGCTAGTTCACCGGGTAATGAGCTTCCAATTGTCAACCAAGTTAGTGATAATCTAATTGCTGATGATTATGAGTTTCCTATTGCAAATAGAAAAGGCGTTCAATATTGTACACAAATAGCAGCCCTCATTGTATATATAGATGACATAGTGACAACTAAGAATGATGTGCATAAAATTACAAGATAGCAACCCTCGTTGTATATGTAAATAACATAGTGATAACTAAGAATGATGTGCATAAAATGACCAAAGTAAAAGCTCAATTGTCTAGGGGGTTTAAAATCAAAGATTTGAGTCCACTGAGATATTTTCTTAGGATTGAAATTCTCAAATCAGAAAAAGACATTTTTATCTTCTAGAGGAAATATATTCTTGACCTACTTGAAAAAACTAGTATGTTGGGATGTAGACCTACAGATTCTCCAATTGAAGGCAACCATCGGCTGGTGAGTGGTGTTGGTGATATTGTAGATAAAGAGAGATACTAGAGATTAGTGGAGAGATTGATATATCTTTCTCATACTTGGCCCGCCGGATATTGCTTATGCAATGGGGATTGTACGTCAATTCATGCATGATCCTTGAGTCCCTCATCTTGAAGTTGTTTACCATATTCTGAGATATCTCAAGTTAGCTCCTAAAAAAAGGATCTTGTTCTTTAATAATGATCACTTGAGACTAGAAGCATTCACTGATGCAGATTCAGTAGATGACAAAAGATCCACTTCAAGCTACTGCACCTTGATAGGAAGAAATATTATCACGTGGCGAAATAAAAAACAAGTGGTGGTAGCAAAGTCTAATGCAGAGGCTGAATATAGAGCAATGGTCCATAAAATTTGTGAACTTATGTGACTCTAAATCCTACTAAGTGAGCTCAAAATTCGTTATAATTGGCCTATAAGACTATACTGTGATAATAAAGCAACTATCAACATTGCACACAATCCAGTTCAACATGATATAACTAAACATATTGAGATTGATCAACACTTCATCAAAGAGAAGGTGAACAAGGGTTTAATTTGCATGTCATTTGTAAAATCAGAAGATTAGTTGGCTAATAGTACTCATTGTCTTGTGAAAACTTTGTCTTCTTGAAGTCAAGGGTTCAAGCCCCTTTCCCCCCCAAAAAAAAAAAAGGTTTTTCATCCTAACATTCGCAAGTTGGGCATGATAGACATTTATGCACCAACTTGAGGGTGAGTATTATATTATGTTATATTAGGATGTAACTATTAAGAGTATTTTTGGAACTTCTGTGACTATATATATATATATATATTAGGATGTTGAACTTCATCACGAGGATAACACTTGATCAACTTTGTCATAGAATTTTCCAAGTAGTGAGGGGTTCACTAGAGATTGCCATACCAGCCACTCCAGTAGAACTTGAGAACAAGGAGCAGGATCAGTCTCAAAACTAATATCCGGTGGTAAGAGATTCACAAAAGTCTAGCAGCATCTTATAACGAGAAAGAAAGACAAAAGTATCCTCACCTACCAATAAAATGGTGTGCCCATTGTCCTTGAAGTAACGAATTTTGCAGTTCTGCAATGCGCCTGACAGCCTTTGAGCTTCATCTCCACTGGGAAGCATGTTATCCTTGCCACTACAATCCAAAAAATCAACCCTAGATTCCATCAGGAAGGAAATTGCAAGCACAAGAGTGTCTAATGTGCCTCATCTTATCTAAACACGGGAAATGAGAAAGAAATTGCTGCAAAAGAAACATAACTTCTAATACAAATGTAATTCAGAATTTTACTCGGTACCAAAAATTGAATAGAATTATTCCGGAGTCAGTTTAATTGGGGAACACACAGAAAACACTAATTGAAGTATTGACTCCGATAATGACTATTACTTATGTCAATTTTGCACAATTTAGGATTGTACTACAACCAAGGATCAAAATTTCATTTCGAAACTATCGAATCGTCCAAAACGTTTCCATTTCCAAGAAGACCGAAACAAATCAGTGATGAGATCGAAATTCTAATACTTCGAAATGTTTTATAATGTTTTGAGATATTTTGTAATGTTTCAATGCATTTGTATAATTGTTTCAGAATGTTTCAAAGTATTTCAAAATACTTTGATATATTTTGACCAATATTTTAGAAAAATAATTTTTAACTTTTTAATTTTTTTCCTTTTAGTTTCCGAAACGGATCGAAACATTTCCGTTTTCTAGGTGATCGAAACAATACAATGAAACAAAATTTTGATCCTCGACTACAAAAACAAAAATTTACATTTCCATTTTATTAGTAATTTGGTGTGTGCAAGAAATAGCCTCAGCACAAAGCTGGATATGGTCATGGCCAGGTAAAAGTAGCCATGCAGGATCTAGTTGACACATTAGTCAAAATTTTATTTAACCAACTCATGAGAACTGTTGAACATCATCTGAAATAGAACCATCAGAGAACCGTAAGCCATTACTTCCTGCTCTAAATAGAGAACACACAAAAAAACAACGAACATTTCTGAAAAGAAACAGAAAAAGAATCTCCTGATAATTATGAAGATATTATGATGATGTTGCAGAATCCCTACGTTAATCCAATACATCACCACACAATTTTCTTCAATTTTTGCCTTTTATAAATGAAAGTGCACAAAATGAAAGAGTAAACGTAGATGCTTTGAACAGAAATAAATAAACAGAAACAAGGCCGGCCATAATTTCTAGCTCTATTAATAATTAGTAATTTATGGTACATCGGCATCACAAATTGACACACACTCACTGAAATGCATGCACGTATGTCTATGTGTGCATATATCTATGCGTACAGAAAAATTGCAACCCATTTTAACGAAAAGTAAAGAATAAAAGAAAATTGAAGATAGCGTTCGTATGGTCTAGCAATGTGCCCAGTTATTGATTACAAGAATAAATTTTACAAATAGGCTGATAAATCGTGGAGCTGAAAATACAAGGCACAACTTTCAGAACCAAATCAAAATCCACAAACACACCCAATAGCAAAGCAATGGGGAATGTGCATGCATGATTAAGGAAAAAAATATCTGCATTAAAGCCAGGGAAAAAAGAAACCTAGCAAGCACTAGTACTTCCGCTGTAATGGCATGTAGACGGGAATTGGCATAAGCAGCGGCTGATTTGAGCAGCTTCAGCTTCCATAGCAGAGTGCTCTTGGGTATTATATCAGCCAAGCCCTGAGAGGACAAGAGAAAGTACTAAATTCCAGAATAATAACCACGAATAGTCCTCCCCACAGAATAACTTCAACATCATCAGATGGTGATTCCAAAAACATAAAGCATAAGGAATGTAGACAGCAATTTCGTAATGGTATGTGTTGAATACCAAACAGTATTTAAAGATTCACATTCAAAGTTTCTTAGGCACCACACTTGAGTGCTGTTGATTCATTAGAGTTGAGGGTTATTTATGGAAGAGAGAGAGGAGACCTTTGACCCGGGCACATTTCCACTGCGACAGTAGGGGAGAAGGCTCAGTAAGCCAAAGTGACATCCATTTTAGTTAATAGGTATACTCGGGAGAAAAGGTTTGGAATTCGACCCCCCTCTTATACTCTCTAAAAACGGGTCATGGACTTCTTTTTTGTTTAGGATCCCCTTTCTACATTCCATTTTTTACTAAGCCTGGTGTGGAATCACCATCATTACACATTCATTGTTGGTCTGGCTACTGGTCAAGTGAGCCTTCTTGGCCGCCTAGAGTGCAGCCTACCTGCTTAAGACCATAATGTAAGTAACTCAATGCTTCATACAGGGGAAATGAAATCAGAATTCATTTGGATCCTCCCACACGTTCAATCTTTTTTATCGGTTTTCCCATAGATCTTTGTCATTAATGCAACCTTCATTTTGCTAATTCATAGAGCTATAATTACTACCTCTAAGAAATATGATTATCCAATGCTAGTCAGTAATGTGAGCTGGCTTGGATGACTTAGTGTTGCGCACCTAAGAGGCAGCACGCTTTGGGACGCAGAGGAGCTATTATACCCAGCTCCCTAACCTAAAGCAACACCAGGTTCAGACCCTAGAGTACTGTAGCATGCAGGGCATCTAATCCTCTTGCCGCCGCAAGGCTTGCTAATCGTACATACCAGGCTTGAAGACCCCTAGTTCTGGAAGGCACATGAGTCTGAATGCTACATAGGTACCTTGTGCGGGTGAGGCGTCAGTTGGTCCTAGAAACCGCGGCAGCAGTGTGAGGAGTTACATGCCGCAACCTAGAGATCACCATACAACTCTTTCGCTCTATTGGGATCGCCAGGGGGGGCGTTCAATAAACGATAGAGACAAGGGAGAAGAAGCTGAAAAAGAACGAAAATAGGACAATCAATGAAGAATGCATCATTAGAGAAGAACTAAATAAGGTCCAAAAAACACAATTTGCGCCAAGCTATTTGCAAGACGGCGTCAAAGAAGTGGAAGAAAAGCTGGAGCAAATCTACCCTTTTTTTAGTTCTTTGGTGAAGAAGAAAAACCTATCTTTGTATCAGCTAGCCTTGGCATAACTGAAAAAGAAAACATTGACGATTTTTTAAAGGGAAGTTAAAGATCTATTTGCTTGGACTTATGATGAGATGTCTGGTTTAAGTATTGATATAATATGTCATTCTTTACACATACTCCTGACACAAAGCCTATCAACAACCAGCCAAAGACTTCAAGCCTAAAATAGAGAAAGAAATGAAAGAAAAGATTCAAAAGCTATCGGAGGTTGGTTTTGCAACACAACAACCTATTTTGTTGACAAACATAGTCCCTGGTGAATGGGCAAATTCACTGCTGTGTTGATTTGTGAAACCATAAAAAACCATGTTCGAAAGATGACTTCCCTTTGCCGAACTGCTCATCCATGCAACAACTTAGTATGAGATGTTCTCATTCATGGATGGATATAGCGGCTACAACCAAATCAAGATGAACCGTGCAGATGTGGAAAAGACCACTTTCAGACCTCCGATAGGTAACTTTTATTACATAGTGATGCCTTTTGGTTTAAAGAATCCCAGTGCGACTTATCAACATGCTATGACTGCAATTTTTCATGATATGATGCACGAAGAATTGGAGGATTACGTTGATAATATAGTAGTAAAATCCAAGAAAAGGAAAGTTTTAGAAAACAGTTGGTGTGGGTCATGTGGCTACGTAATGTCTACAAATGTTAGAAAACAGATGGTGTGGGCCGTGTGAAAGAAAAGACAAAGAATTTATTGCATGACATTAGCATTCCAATAACCTTTCCAATGCAATTATTTTGTGATAATCAGGCTCCAGTTCATATTGATTTGAATCCAATTTTTCACGAATGAACAAAACATATTGAGATTAGCTGCCAATTTGTTCGAGAAAAGCTTCAGTCTAAGGAGATTACCACTTGTTTTGTACAGTCTGCAGATTAGTTAGCAAATATCTTCACCAAGTCACTTAGTAGAGATAAAATTGATATTTTTGGTTTTAGGTTAGGACTATTTGATATCTTTAGTCAAGCTTGAGGGGGAGTGTTAATGAGTTAGGGTCAATAAGGTCATTACCCAATTCCATATGTGTAACTATATAACTCTCTCTTTGATCAATTGATGTTTGAGTTTTTTCTCTTCTTTTTCAATTATGTCTCTCTCTCTCTCTCTCAATATACTATTAACATGCTAGACCTGGGCTTCCAAAGCAACTAGGCTTGGACTTGGATAATGAACCCGACTGAACCTTTTCTTCAACCTTTGGCTGTGTCAAACGAAACCCTAATTGTGCCCATTATCTGCAACAATCGCCACCCAAACACTATCTGCCAAAAAATTGATCAACTAACAACTTCGATTTCATTCAAAAAAAACTCCAACAAATTTCTTCAACTCCACTGTGATACACAGCATCTTCACAAATCGAGAACTTAAATTTCATTAAAAAAAAACTCAACAACAAATTTCTTTAACTCCACTATGATACGATCAATTTATTCGATCACCAACATTAACGATTCCAAAGGTCAGCAAACAGTGACTCCACCTTGACGACGAACAACGACTCAACAGTGGTCAGTTAACACCAACTCCACCTCAATGATAAACAACGACCCACAGTGATAAAGCTGCTCTAATAACATGTAACAATATATATATATATAGAGAGAGAGAGAAAAGAGAAGAGAAACGTAATTGAATAGGAAAATAGAACATCACCATTGTATTGATTAAAGAGATATATATGGTTACACATATGAGAATTAAGCAATGACTCTATTACCCCTCACTCACTAACAAGGTTAATAGATTTGTAAATATTTATTCAGGTATTTTACTTAAGCAAATTCTTCTATGTTTAATGTTATATCTTTCTTACTTATGGATGATTGCATTGCTAAAGGGGGGTATTTATAGGAGAGGGGGAACCCATGGCATAAACTTGAAAGTCAAAGTGGAAAAAACTGCCACATTTGTTTTTTAGAATCACATGTGTCTTGCACGATGTTTTTGACTAAGAAAACGTGTGATTTAGAAAAATGCCCAGCTACAAAGTTATAGGGCTAAAAGTCTAGTTTCTAGATCATCAAGAATCAAAGCTATTGGATCTCTCAACCAAAAGTAATGACTAAAAAACTGAGACTGTCAGATTATCGTCTTGTGAAATCTTCCAACACCAGCTGTCTATTGCATGCCATATTTGACTGGAAAAATGCGTGAGTTAGGAAAAGTTCCCAACTACAAAGTTTTAGGTGTGGAAATTAGCTTTCCAAAAAGTCAAGATTCAGCTTAATTGGAAGTCGGAGTTGGGCATCATGCCGAAAATACTGATCATGGATTAGACTGTCAGCTTCTAGAAATCTGTCAACCTAGCCCCTAACTTTTTTGTTCCACACTTGACTCACCCATGGGCCTATCTTCTGATTTTTCATCACACATTCATCCTCTAACATTGGGCCTTCAATCATCTTGAATTCTACTTGCATTGGGTGGGAATGGATCACTACAAAAGTGAATACATAATAAGTACACTTTTTCCAAATATTCCAAATCAAGCACAAATGAGTTACAGATAATAAAACACACATAAAATATAAAATATAGTAAAAATAAGTGTAATTATATTTTCTAAACTACTTTAATTATGCAATTTCCGATTGTTATCACACTCCCCCGCTCCCCAAAAAAAAAAACTAGTATATTGCCAGTCCTAGCAATCAAAGCAACCATAAATTCAAAATTTATTCAAAATAAATTATCTAAAAACAAAAGTTGGAGCATTAACGATAAATCAAAAGTTGCTTGACAATATCAAGAGAATATACTTGGAGCACTTTTGTTCATCAAACTTTCCGAAATTTTATTTTTTTTCATATGCTTTTTTTTTATTTCAATATCTTTTGAACAATCTTCTTCTTTTTTTCTCGGAGGATCATCCTCTTGCATACCACATTAGGCCTCTCTTCTGACCACAATAGTCCCTACAAATTCTCAAGGCCAAAAGGGTAAAGAAATAAAAATTAATACCGGGTTACACGGTATGGTAAGAATTATAGGCTAACAAACAAAGGCTATATATAAGGCTCACACGATCCAAGGAAGGCCTAAAAAAATTTCTTATGGTTCATATGATTCTTCCATATCCATAAACTCAAAGGAATCAACTGAAGCATTTACGATATTGTCTTCTTAGCAATTGACCAAAATGAAAGAATAATGAGACTATCAACAAAATGGTGCATTGTGAAAGAAAATTGAATTCATGTAATCAAAAAGTCGAATAGCTCTAATCTCACATGGGTCAAAGTCTCCACTATTTTTTTCTTCAGATTTTCAGGTCATATTCACTTCTCAACCTAGATTGTATCCATGTGGCTATCGTGAAGTGCAAAAAAAAATTGACACATGATGGTAATGAAACTAATTCCGAGATGACCGAAATTATACAACGGAACACATTTTTTATCCTTTATCTCCATGAAAAAAAACATTTTTCACATCCATGTAAGACAAGCTCCATTGATGAATGGCACTATTGCGGTCACTATGTGAACAGTGGTCATCTTGGCAAAACTCTCGTCATAGTCTCGTAGTCCATACTCCTGAGCAAATGCTTTGGCTACCAATCGAGCCACGTACCTTTCCATAAAATTGTCAGATTTGATTTTTGACCTTATAAACTCACTTATAGCCATTGATGCATCTACAAGGGAGTAAAAACACTAACTCCAAAGCTCAGACCTTATGTATTGCAGATAGCTCCTCATCCACATCCATAGCTTGTTGTCAAAGATGATCAAATATAGCCTCCTTATAGGAGGTGGGTTCAAATAAATTGGGAATAGAAGTGAGAAATGAACCCAAAAAAAAAAAAAAATAGCAACAGTGCGAGAAACTAAACCTATCTAGACATTTCGGAGAATACTGAGAATATCGAAAAACATGACTTACACCAAGGATCAAAATATCATTTCGAAACGTCCGAAACGTTTCCGTTTCCAAGAAGATCGAAACAAAACAATGATAGAATCAAAATTCTGATATTTCGAGGTATTCTATAATGTTTTTAAATGTATTACAATATTTCAATGCATTTGCACAATTATTTTAGAATTTTTCAAGATATTTTGATATATTTCCATCAATGTTTTAGAAAAATAATTCTTAAATTTTTTATTTTTTTCATTATATTTTCAAAACAGGTCGAAATATTTCTGAAACACGTCGAAACGTTTTCGTTTCCTAGGTGACCGAAACGATATTTCGATCCTTGATTTACACTATCAGGTTAGAAGTGAGAAAGAAACAAAAATCAAAAGAATAGCAAGAGTTGTGGGTAACATGCTCCATATAAACAATATGAAGATTTGTGGGTAATAGGATCATAACAACGATACCCACATGAAGATTTGTCAGTAATAGGACCATAACAACAATACCCCTTTTGACCATCACTATAACCAAGAAAAATACATATGTCTTAGTGACTAGAAAACTTGGTATGAAGAACACTAGAGAGAAAGACAAAGAAAGTACAACTAAACACATGTAAGGAGAAATAATCTAAGTGGCATACCACATAATTTTTCAAATAAGGAGACATCAGAAGTGAGAAAAGTAGTAATGGAATTAATCAAATGAACGGTTGTATGAACTATCTCCCCAAAAGGGGAAAAGTAGCAAGTTGTCTCTATAATATGACGGTGTTTGCGCTCGACAACACCATTCTACTCATTACAAGAAGATTGATAAAGATCACCATCATACTTTCACAAATCATGAAAAGAAGTAAGAAAGTATTCACCTCCTTGATCACAACAAAAACATTAAGCAACAAAAGAATACTGAGTGCACACCATAGTACGAAAAATAGTGACTAGAAAAAAATTCAATTATGCATTTCATCAAATATACCTAACAGTACCTAGTATAATTATCAACAAAAGAAACATAATCTATAGACCATCTCTTTGTAAGACTAAGCAAATCTCATATATCAATTACAGTAACAAGAGATCAAATGGCGCCAAAGAGCTAGTATAACTTTTATTGAAAGGTAATGCACTAAACGTAGCTAACTTGCATCTCCTACAATTAGAAATGTCATAACACTTTATGTTACCCAAACTGGCTAAACACTTCAAATGTGAAAGAGAAAAAAGGCCAAGACATCAATGCCAAAAATAAAAACTAGAATGCTCAAGACTCAAATGAAAAGAATGTAAATCGAAAGTAGAAGCAACAATATCATGTAGCTTCGTCAACACATAAAACCATCTCTTTCTACGGCCTGCCCTAATAAGCTTCTTAGACAAAGATCCTACATAACATAACTACTGGATGAAAAATGAACTAAAAATCTAAAATCAAATAGTTGACTAATTGAAATCAAATTCAAAGTAAGTTGAAGAACGTAGTAGACATCTAAAAGCATGAGGTGAGAAGAAATAACCGACCAAACACCTGTTAAAGACATTTGAGTGTCATTGGCTACAAGCACTGATACAAAGGGCGAACAGACAACAGATGCAAATAAGGAGAAATCACTAGTCATGCAATGTGTGGTCCGTAAGTCAGAGACCCAAACAATGCGAGGCATAGTTGAAGGGCCCGAAGCGGACAAAACTATGGAGGGAGAAACTAAGAGGACACCAGCCTGATGGAGAGATAAAAGCTTCTACAACTGATCGGCAATCATAGTCAGACTAAAAGGTGATGAGAATGACTCATCCATGGGTGATACCATTGTTGTTGTATGATAGTCTTTGGACTTAAAGGCTGATTTAGTGATCCCCGTGCAACCTTATTCACCAATTTAGGGCACTCAGCTTTCTAGTAACACTTTTCATGATAAAAGCTACACTTATCTAAAGTTGCTCGATCTTGTTACTTGTTTTGTGAATTAGAAGACTCCTTCAGAGGAACCGCCAACACAATGTGGTTAGGTAATTAAAGAAGACCCTTTCTAGATAGGGTCTTAAGGCGCACCTCCTCTGATAGCCCATCAACCACTACATCAAGTGAGGGAAGTGACCCCTCCAATTCACATTTGAGTTCCATCAACTAATCCCAATGTCCAGTCATAATTGAATAACCTATATGTTTCTATCACCCCTGCCATCCAGCTTAGAATTTCATGCTCAAGTTGCTAACTCTTAAAATTTGGATAAAAAGTAGGGTTAATCTCATTTTGCACCCCAAAAGATTGTTCGAATCTCAATTTGTACCCTCAAAGATCAAAAATCTCAATTTACACCCTCAAAGATAGAAATTTGTATCAATGTGCACCTCCAAAGATCAAGAATCTCAATTTGCACCCTCAAAGATAGAAATTTATATCAATGTGCACCCCAAAGATAAAAAATCTCAATTTGCACCCTCAAAGATAGAAATTTGTATCCATGTGCACCTAAAATTAAATTGATAAATTATGCCTAGATCCCCTCATATTTGTCACTTAATCATTTAGACCTCTTCACATTTAGAATATTACTCCTACATCTTATGACATTTATGCACGTATAACACGTAACCCATTTTCATTGATATCTATTAATATAACCATTAAAAAATATAATTTTATCCTAATAAAAAATTATAATTTCATATTACCCTCTATTTTAAGGGTTCAATATATTCTAAAGTTCAAAATTTAGTTTACCATTTGAATGTCTAATAAAATGTAAATATTTATATAATGTTTTTCATATTACCTTTTATATAAATATCTACATTTTATTAGACATTCAAATGGTAAGCTTGATTTTCAACTTTAGAGTATATCGAATCCACAAAATAAAAGGTAATATGAAATTATAATTTTTTATTAGGATAAAATCATATTTTTTAACGATTATATTAACAGATATCAACGAAAAGTGGTTATGTGTTACACATACACAAATGTCATGAGATGTAAGGGGAATATTCTAAATGTGAAGGAGTTCAAATGATTAAGTGACAAACATGAGGAGATCTAGGTATAATTTATCAATTTAATTTTAGGTGCACATTGATACAAATTTCTATCTTTGAGGATGCAAATTGAGATTTTTTATCTTTGGGGATGCACATTGATACAAATTTCTATTTTTGAGGGTGCAAAATGAGATTAACCCTAAAAAGTAACTAAATAGTCACAAATCTCTTTGGTTGTGGTAAACTTGGCCAAATGAACACCGATAGTCTAACCAACTAAGTTGTTAATCTAAGTAATGATTTTAGCAATTTTGATGTCTCATTTGTTCTTCAGGCCATCAATGTGAAATTAGCAGGTAAAATGATGTTTATTAGGCTTATGTTGAGAAAAATTTTCTACTAGGTAAAAATATGTGAGTTATGTTATAGAATTCCACTTGCTATGATCTAATCAAAAGATATCGAAATCAAAATGAAAGCCCATAAGAAAAACAAAAACCCACAAGGAACCAAAACCCAATGGGTCACCAAGCCCGCAAGTAAAACCAGTAGATCCCTAAGAAATCCA